CCCCTGTCTGCCTTGTGCTTGGGGCCTGATCTCTCTTCTTGCCCCTCTGCACCCCACCTTCTCAAATAAAGGCCCCTCCCCTCTGAAACTTCACTGGGCTTTTTCCTTTCTCTCTCTGTCTCTCTCTTTTTCCTTCTCAAAAGGAATTAAGCCTCAGTCTAGGCAGCTCGACTAAAAATGGACTGAGACAGACAGAAATACCAGGTGGAGGAGCATCTTATTAAATAATGCGGAGAGAGAGGAAAAGAAACAAAATTACACGTGTCTCCTTTCATCTCCTACCCTCTCCTGGCCCTGAATAGCTTAATATCGAACACTGTTATCAATATAATTAACCTCCTAAGACACAATTTTAAAGTCGCGTTTTTTCCAAGCGATTTGCATTCTCTGAAGTTCGGGGCATCCCACCGCCCGGCTGCGGCACCACCCAGACGGCCCGTGTGGCTAAGTGAACCTGAGCTTCATTTGCATACCTGCCTACAATTACCACCTGTGATAACGGCTGATGCATAATGCATGCAGCATGGAATTAGAAAAATAATTAACTTTAGGTTTGGCAAGAATCTCCACCCCCACCCCACCCTGCATGCATTACAAGTTGTAGATGGCCTTGCCAGTGGCAGGGAAGCAGGGTAGTTAGCCAGGGAAGTAGTTTTTGGTGGTGATGGGTGTGGATGGCACCCTGCAGGAGCCAGGATCAGAGGGTCCTGAGAAGGTCCTGACATCCACTCCCCCCCATCCCCAAGGAAATGCCCCTGGTGGCTACAGGCCCTGCGACCCCTGCATGAATGAGGGTTTGGAAAAGTCCTAGGGTTATTGGAGGCCTGGGTTCCCTTCCTAGATCCCTGACTGAAGCTCCAGGAAGTGTGGCTGGCTGCTGATGTGTCCAGGCTCGCTGAGCACCAACAGTCCCCTCAGGGTGTCCCCCCAGGGAGACAGCAAGGCCACTCGCTGCCCCATTTCACAGCTGAAGACCTGAGCCCCTGAGGCCACCTTCCCATAGGCCGAGTGGCTGGACAGAGCCAACGCAGGGGCAGGGTGGCCATCTCCTTATTTGCTGCAGGCAGGAGCCGACAACAGCCTCAGTGGCACCTGTGGTTTCCTGCAGGGACAGGAGGCCATAGTTGGGTCCCTAGCAAAGGCCATGTTGTCGGGAGTGGGGGAGCCCCGGGTCCCACTTGCATCACAGCCAGAGGAGGCAGTGCAGATGGATGGCCCCCTCCCCTGCCCAGCTCACAGCCCCTGCTGCCCACCGCCCCGACTCATCAGTGAAGGTCTGGGCTGGAGATGGTGGAGTGGGGGTGCAGGATCACAGCAGGGGAGCTGAGAAGTGCTTGGTTTCCACACAGACCCACAGGCCAGCCCCAGGGCCCCTAGCAGCATGCCCAAGCAGGAAGCCTTCCCCCACCTCCTGCCCGGACACAGCTGGGAGCTGGCACCCCCTTCCCCGGAGATGAGGGGTGGCAGGCAGGCTCAGAGAGGGGGAAAGACTGTTTAGAAAACAGACAGGTGCCAGCAATCCAGGCGTGGCCCAGAGCTGTGAGCTGGGCTGTGGTCCTGGGTGGCTAGGAGGGGCTGCTCTCCTGAGCGCCCACACCCCCACCTCGTATGGTTCCCTTTTCTGCGACCCTGGACCCAGGCTGCACCTGCCTTCAAGGCTACGCACAGCTTCCCACCTGAGGGCCTGCACACATGCACCTGCTCCGAGCTAGTCCAGCCGGGCACTCGGGGGACCCTTCACTCAGGGCAGGTGGTGGCTGTGAGGGGAGAAGGACGAGTGGGGGCTGAGGCGGTGTGAATAAGGAAGTGCAAGGTGGAGCCAGGGAGCTGTGGGAGGACACCCCGGATCTCTGTGCCATGCTCCACCCTGGGCTCATCAGCGGAGGGAGCCCCTTGGCTTGTCCTTCCCCAGCTCTGTCGGCTGCATCAGTGTAGGGGGATGGGCAGAAGGTCAGAATGCAGGTGTCTGTCCCTGGGCTGCTTTCTGGAGTTCTGGCCACTGCGTTGGACTCAACTGACGGGCCAGCTGGACACCTGCTATCCACCAGCTGTCCGCACCAGTGGCGGAGCAACACCCCAGGGACATGCCTGCCTCCCTTCCCCCCCTATACTGTGGCCTCTTCCAGAAGGGCTGGTGAAGCCAGGTAGGGGTCGCCCAGCTGCAGATCCTCCAGGGGACAGCAAAGGGATGACTCCCCTTTCCAACCCCCAGGGGCCCCACTGGGTGCCCACACAACTGCTGCTTCGTCTCCTCCTGGGACAGCGGGGTTTTCAGCAGCAGCAGCAGGGAGGAAACTGAGGCCCAAGAGGCGTGAGCCCCATAGGAAGGGTGACTGAGGAAGTGGGCTCAGAGAGGGAATGACTGGCTCTGTCACGCAGCCAGGAAGCTGCAAACGGCAGGACCCCACCCAGGGTGGTCCGTCTCAGGTGTTGGCAGTGAAAGGGCTGGGTGCCGTTCTCCGCTGCTAAGGTGGGGGTGGTCCCTGGGCACCTCCAGCTGCTCCCCTTCCCCTGCCTGGATGCTACTGTCACTCACAGAGCCGGCAGGCCATAACTCACAGGGTGCTGTTGCGTGATGATAAGTGATCCCGTAAGAGATGGGCGATTTGCCGGGTATAATTTGATGGCCACATAAACTATCAAACACACAACAAGGGAATGAAAAGGCTGCCAGGCGAGGGGGTCTCCCCAGCAGGGCCACCCAGCTACTCACACCATCACCCTCCTGCCTCCGGGCCCACCCTGCTTCCGGGACTCAGCCTCGCTAGCCTTGGGGGAGACTGGCCAAGATGGATGAGGCCTTGGGCCCCTGCCTCCCACACACGCCTCGGTCGTCCATCACACGGCTCTGAAAGTGCAATTTGGACTCCATCATGACGCCAGTGCCTCTGAAGGCTGGTGGCTGTGACTGTGAACGGTGAGGGGAGCGGGAACAGATGTCCACGCCACGGGGTCAGGGTTGGTCTGGGTCAGCTGCCTGCTCCGGGCAGTGCCCCACGGTGACTGAACACAGAGGCTGGCCACCTGTGGCCTCCGGCTGGGACTCGGCAGCTGGCAGATCAGGGAAGCGGGAGTGCCCCCTCCTTACCCCAGGCTGGGCCATGCGGGGTGGCTGCTAGCCAGCCTGAGGTCCCCGCCTCCAGTACCTGCTCGGCTCTGCCTCCCCACGCGTGGTGACCTTCACAGTGCCGGCTCAGCACAGACGGACAGAAAGCCAGACAGGCCCTCACCTGTCTTTGTCCCAGGCTGCTCAGCTGTGGAATGGGACGGACGAGTTGGTGGATGCCACAGCCAGGCCTGGGGGCTCTGCCCTAGGGCCTGAGTCTAGCCCCTTCCTCTAAGGGCTGACCTGTCCCGATCTGCGCAGTGTCCACAGCTCTGAGCATATCCCTGCCTGTGCTCCTTCCCAGTCCCAAAACCGATCACCCAATAATACAACTTGCTCCCCACAGGGCCCTCAAGTTCAGCAGGGACCGGGAGGCTGGCCGGTGGCCCCAGTGACCTGGGCAAGTTTCTGCTCAGTTCCAAGAGGTCTTGGTAAAGCTAACATCTCCAGACCTCTGTGTTCCCATCTGCTAAATGGAAGGAAGGGCAGCACCGACACATTTGTTCAGGGGTGAACGGCAGACATCCTGACAACTCTAAGCGAAGTCTGTATTATGATGAGAATCTCCACCCACCTGGAGGGACTTCCCAGGGGCAGGACAGGTTGCTCCAAAAAGATCTGGGTGGATGGATGGGTGGGCATATCGGGACAGGTCGGGGGGTGGGTGAGTAGCTGGATGCTAGGTGAGTGGACAGACGGTATGAGGATGACCACGCAAAGCCCTGTGTTGGCATCAGGAAGACCAGGCAGGGGAGGGGACATCAGAGCTGGGTCCTGAGGGACGAGGAGTTTTCTGAATGGAGAGGATGGAGAAGGGGCCAGGCTTGGCAAGGGTGAGAAGTGGAGGCGCTTGGCCTGTGGGGTATAGAGCGGGGACTCCACATTGTGTCCCATGGTCACCAAGGCTCTGTGAGCCTGGGGCTTCCAAGCAGGCCCCTGTGTCTTCTGGCGACACCTTCCCCACCCAGGCTGACAGATGAATTCTCTTTAATTGATTTTTGTCTACCACGATGCATGGAAAAACAGCAGAAAAAACCCACAGTGCAGGTTGTTTTTTTTTTTTTCACACTGATTTGCAAATTCTGAGATCACATCTCACAAACACCTCCTTACCCCTTTGATCTGTCCTGGACATGGGCTTGGTTCTTTTCTCCAGGGTAGCTGGATGTGTTCTGATTTGGGAAGGGGGCATGGGCAGAGCAGAGGGGAGGGGAGCAAGGCATAGCACGACCCTGCACAGGGCACAGAGTGAGGGAAAGCAGCTCTGAGGATGCCTTCTCGTCCCTCCGCCCATGACATGGACTGGTGACAGATAGAGGTGTTGCTTTAGCACCAGACAGTAAGGTACCATTCTGCTGAGGCCGGGGCCCGCAGCTTCCTCGGCTTCGGTTCCGGCGACGCCTCCCCCAACCTCCGCTCCCCCTACTCCATCCTCTGAGCACACGGCCTTCTCTTCCAAGCTTGGGTGTGAGCTGGAGGACCATACATGTTCCCCGCCCCAGGAAGAAAGAGCAGCCTGAATGCCTAAAGCACTCCCCACATCCATGCCACTCCAGCACGAGCCACAATCACGGGCTTGGTGTGCGTCCTTAACAGAAAGAAATCAAGTCGGCTCTCGGGATTAACCTCTCCCCTGGCACTGCCCAGGGTGCACCAGGGGCAGGATGGGCACTGTCTACACACCATCAGAATCCGACTTTAGCAAAAACACTTGCCTGTGACCCTGACCTTGGCCCTGACTGTGGAGGTCCTGTTGTGGTGGGTGGGTGTGCATGCGCCATGCTCAGGCTGTCATCCCTGCCTCTTGCTCACCACACCCCTTCTGTGTTCCCTGCAGGTGGTGAGGTCCTCGTGGGGTCAGGCGGAGTGGGACTCTCCCCTCCCCCCACCAGCCGTGCACCATGGTGGTGGCACACCCCATGGCCACTGCCACTGCCACGCCTGCCACCACGGTCACAGCCACCGTGGTGATGACCACAGCCACCATGGACCTGCGGGACTGGCTGTTCCTGTGTTACGGGCTCATCGCCTTCCTGACAGAGGTCATCGACAGTACCACGTGCCCCTCTGTCTGCCGCTGTAACAACGGCTTCATCTACTGCAACGACCGGGGGCTCACCTCCATCCCCGCCGACATCCCTGACGATGCCACCACCCTCTACCTGCAGAACAACCATATCAACAACGCTGGCATCCCCCAGGACCTCAAGACCAAGGTCAGCGTGCAGGTCATCTACCTGTATGAGAACGACCTGGATGAGTTCCCCATCAACCTACCCCGCTCCCTGCGGGAGCTGCACCTGCAGGACAACAATGTGCGTGCCATCGCCCGTGACTCGCTGGCCCGCATCCCGCTGCTCGAGAAGCTGCACCTGGATGACAACTCCGTGTCCACCGTCAGCATCGAGGAGGACGCGTTCGCCGACAGCAAGCAGCTCAAGCTGCTCTTCCTCAGCCGCAACCACCTGAGCAGCATCCCGCCAGGGCTGCCGCACACGCTCGAGGAGCTGCGGCTGGACGACAACCGCATCTCCACCATCCCGCTGCACGCCTTCAAGGGCTTGCGCAGCCTGCGGCGTCTGGTGCTGGACGGCAACCTGCTGGCTAACCAGCGCATCGCTGACGACACCTTCAGCCGCCTGCAGAACCTCACGGAGCTGTCACTGGTGCGCAACTCGCTGGCCGCGCCGCCCCTCAACCTGCCCAGCGCCCACCTGCAGAAGCTCTACCTGCAGGACAACGCCATCACCCACATCCCCTACAACACGCTGGCCAAGATGCGTGAGCTGGAGCGGTTGGACCTGTCCAACAACAACCTCACCACACTGCCCCGCGGCCTCTTTGACGACCTGGGCAACCTGGCCCAGCTGCTACTCAGGAACAACCCCTGGTTCTGTGGTTGCAACCTCATGTGGCTGCGGGACTGGGTGAAGGCACGGGCCACTGTGGTCAATGTGCGGGGTCTCATGTGCCAGGGCCCCGAGAAGGTCCGGGGCATGGCCATCAAGGACATCACCACCGAGATGGATGAGTGCTCCGAGGCTGGGGCTCAGGGCGGTGCAGCCGGCGTGGCCAGCACTGCTGCCAAGACCACAGCCTCCAACCATGCCGCTGCTGCCGCTGCTGCAGCCACCACACCCCAGGGCTCACTGTTCACGCTCAAGGCCAAGAGGCCGGGGCTGCGCCTCCCTGACTCCAACCTTGACTACCCCATGGCCACAGGCGACAGTGCCAAGACCCTGGTGATCCACGTGAAGCCACTCACAGCAGATTCCATCCGCATCACGTGGAAGGCCACACTCCCAGCCTCCTCCTTCCGGCTCAGCTGGCTACGCCTGGGCCATAGCCCGGCTGTGGGCTCCATCACCGAGACCTTGGTGCAGGGGGATAAGACTGAGTACCTGCTCACGGCCTTGGAGCCCAAGTCTACCTACATCATCTGCATGGTCACCATGGAGACCAGCAATGCCTACGTGGCAGATGAGACACCTGTGTGTGCCAAGGCGGAGACAGCTGACACCCACAGCCCTGCCACCACACTCAACCAGGAGCAGAATGTGGGCCCTATGGCAGGACTGCCCCTGGCGGGCATCGTTGGTGGTGCCGTGGCCCTGGTCTTCCTCTTCCTGGTCCTGGGGGCCATCTGCTGGTATGTGAACCGGGCCGGTGAGCTGCTGGGCAGGGAGAGGGCCTACAACCGGGGCAGCAGGAGAAAGGATGACTATATGGAGTCAGGGACCAAGAAGGATAACTCCATCCTGGAGATCCGTGGACCCGGGCTGCAGATGCTGCCCATCAACCCGTACCGCACCAAAGAGGAGTATGTGGTGCACACCATCTTCCCCTCCAATGGCAGCAGCCTGGGCAAGGGCACACACACCATCGGCTACGGCGCCACACGGGGCTACCGTGATGGTGGCATCCCTGATGCTGACTACTCCTACACATGATGCTGGCTCCCCGCCGGCCGGCTGGCTCTGGCCATTGCTGCCGCTATCCCAGAGAGCGAGCGAGTGAGCGAGCGAGAAAAGGGGGCGCCTGTGGTTGATGTCACCCAGCAGTAAGCCACGGCTGGGAGAGATGGCGACTTGTTAGAACGCCACGGTGGGGGGAAGAATTTTCTTTCTTTCTTTTTTTTAAGAATAGAAGGCAGGAAGGGGGTTCGCGGCCACAAAAGATATGATTTAGGGGAGTCAAGTCAGTGTAGGGGGTGCGCTAAAAGTAGTCTGGGCTTCTTCCTGAACTGTAACAGATAACTACCTACGCGTGCCCTCAATGCACACCTGCAAGCTGTCACACAGACCCAGAGAGAAGTGGCTGCACGCGGGGCCCCACGCAGCTGCGCCACGGCTACCACGCCCTCACGGAAGTTTGCAGGCTCGGCAGCCCAAGGTGGGCTGAGGGGACATAGGTTCCCTGCTTCCTCCGCACCATCCCCCCGCTGGTCAGTGGGGGTGTGGGGGTCTTTCACTGCACTCTTTGGAGGGTTACATGCTGTCAGCTCCAATGAGAGCTTCTCTTCCTGGGCCTTGTAGAGGTCCCCAGAGCAGCTGCAGCATCCCTGGCCAGCACGTGGAGGTGCCTCCGTCTGCCCGTCCGTCCGTCCCAGCACCGCGTCTCAGTGCCGATGGGCGGCTAGAGCTGCATCCGTGTGGTCCCTGCAGTACTTCCTGGGTCGGTCCTTACATTTCCCGAGACAATAGAATTGTGAAAATATTTTTTGCTAGAAATCACTGATTATCAGTAGATAGATCATGTATGGGGGAGGGGAGTTAATGGGGGAGGGGAGGGGAAATGGGGGAAGCTACTGCTGCTCTTAGAGGTGGAGGCATGTTCCTCCTGCTGGCTGGCAAGGGTCAGGCCAGGCAAGGATGTGCTCCCCATCTCAGCTTGGCTGTCTTGGGCCGCTGTCCTTCCTGCTGTGGAGGAAAGAAGCCCCTACTAGTCTTCTCTCCAGCAGAGGTGATCACAGCCACTGCTCTCTGAGAATGTTCCATGGGAGTCCTGGGACAGGTCATCAGCACAGGGAGTTTGTTTTGTTTTGGTAACCTCGGCTGATGAGACCTTTTGGGCTGCTCAGGCCCAAGAACCAACAGGAAAAGGTTCCAAAGACCCTTTCCAGCCAGCCCCCCACCTCATGCCTCACTCCCAGGGACCAGAGCTTCTTCAGAAAACAGCCTGTGAGAGGGGAGCGGCCAGGGCCCTCGGAAGAGTTAAGATTTTATTTCCTCCCTCTGGAATCAGCGTCGCTATCATTTATCAAGTGATGGCGCAGTGTGGCGAGCCATGAGATTAAAACAATGATGAAATAATGACAGCGGTGCTGGGGGTGGGGGAGCAGGGCGGCGGCCTCTGATGTTCACTGTATCCCAGCCCCGGGGGAGTGTGGGTGGCATGTGTCAACACTGCTGCCTGAGCCGAGGCAGGCGTGGGTCCGAGGGCAGAGGATTAAAAAGGGCCAGTCGCTAGCCACGGTGGTCTCCTCATGCCTCCGGCGCTTCCACCACAGCCAGGGCACGAGCAGGAGGCTGGGCAGCAGGCACAGGGCTGCCCACCCTGGTCCTGGTGCCAGCCGCTTGCTGCACTTGAAAAGCTCCGACCCAGCCCTTCAGAGCTGGGCAGGAGGTGGCACAGCCCCGAGGCAGCCCCTGGGGCCGTCTTTGCTTCCAGGCGACCTTTATGTTCCTTTTTCTGCCTATATCATTTTTCACCCCCGATGCTGAGGCTGGGGAGGATGGAGGACAGTGTTGCCAAGCCTTCCTTCCAGGCTGTTGGAAAAGGGACTTTACCTGCAAGGTGGGGGTGGGGGCCAGGGGCCCCCCAAGTCTTCAGCAAAAGAGAGGTACCACTATATCTTCCAGCCACACCCCAGGCCCAGCTCAGGGTCTCCCCATGGTGGCTGGGGAAGGCTCCGCCTGCTAGGGACCAGAGTTCCCAGGGAGCAGAGCTGGAGAACAACTGGGCCCTGCAGGTGCCCATAGCAGCACCATGCCCAGCAGCACGGCAATCTCCACCTGACTCTGGCTATAGGGATACCAGGCACCAGCTGGGCACCCCGGGTCCCCTGCAGGCAGGCCTGGCCACACAGCAAGATGGGTAGGTGGTGCTCGGGGACACCCCAGGGCCCTCCCATACCCCCTCCTCCTGCACCAGAGCCAGAACCACCCTGCTAGCCTCGGTGTCCACAAGTATATTTTTTTGTGTATGTGTGGTATTTAAGGCAGGTTTAAAGTTTAAAAAAGGAGAAACAGCCCACGACACTTCTATGGGTAAGTGGTTTACCCTTCGTGGTAATTAGATGTAGTGATTGGAATCTCTTTTCTATTACATGGCAATTTGCCTTTAAATTTTCCCTTTAAAAAGAGAGAGAGAGAGAGAGAAAGAGAGAGGAAAGGCAAGGAGGGAGAGAAGGCAGGCGGGCCAGGCGTCATTTGCATGTTGCGAATGAGGCCTCTCCCAAGCTCAGCTCAGGAGAGGGGCCGATGTATGGAATGCTTAAGAGATTACTAAGAATAAAATCTATTAATTAGTCATACTCAATTCTGCAGACCTGACGCGCATCAGAAGCTGTCCTGCTTTCCTTTAGCAGCCTCCCTCGCTCCCTCTGTGTGACAGCCCCTGGCCGAGGCGTGAAGGCTGGGCACAGGGACACCCTCGAGGTCTGGGCTGGCCTTGTCCAGCCCCAGGGGAAGCGAGAGGCAGGGACCGGAAACACTTTAGAGAGATCCACGGCTCTGGTTTCCCTTCCTGTGAGGTGGGGGTACCCGGGGTGGGATCTAACTTCACCCAGGAGAGTGGGGTGTCCCGGAAGCCCAGCGGACGGCTCCCTTTCTCTCCAGTGATTCTGGTCCCTTGAGGCAAGTGAAGGATACTGTGGGGCTGGGCACAGGGCACAGGCAGTGCCCAGAGCAGCCTCTGAGAGGGGCAAAGCAGTTCTAAGCCACATCCAGGGCAGTGCTGAACCTAAACCCTGCCTTCTGCCAGACCCCCGCCCTCCTGCCCTCCGCAGCTTGCAGCCAACCCACTTCGCAAATCCACTTCCTGCTGACCACGCCAGGGAGAGCAGGGTTCTGAGCCCAGCAGTGAGCTTATGAAAACTACAAGGAAAATCGGATGCAGCAACGCTGGGAATGCAGCCGGGGGAGCTGGGGCGTGCACTCCCAGGAAGGGCTGGAGTGCAGTCACACTCCCAGGCCCATAGCGAGGCCGGGTCCAGCTGTGCGATGGGTCCCCTCCTCGCACTCCAATCTTTGCAGGTAAGGCAGCCAGGCCACCACCTGCTGCTGGATGGGTGCCAGGGCGGGCGCTAACGAGCAATTCACAGGCCTTCCAGAACACAGACAGGGTTTTTTTTTTTTTTCCTTAAGGAGGGATAAAAAGGCTCAAAGATGCAAATCATTGCCGTTTACAAGCGAATGAATCTGCTAAATTGATCAGGGGAGGTTAAACTCCCCAGGGCTGAAGGGAGAGGAGGATTTTTCCTGGTGGATGGGCCCACCCCAAGTGGCTGTCTGCATGGCGGGCATTTCGGGCACAGTGCTTGCTTTCTGCCCTACAGGACGGGCACATGTGGCTCCAGGTGGGGCCTTCAGGGATGGAAGGGGCTGTCCAGTGGGCCACAGCGGGGATCAAGAAACTGTCCCCACCCCAGGGCTCCACCAGCCTGCAAAGGTGACAGGCAACATCTCAGAGGGTGTGTCACGGAAAGGTCTCCAGGGCTGTGGGTTTTTGTGCTTCCTCTCTGTCACAGGGTGGATCTGGCTGTGAAAGGCACAAGGGACCCCCCACTACACTGGGACACCCCAAAGAAGGAGGAGGGAAGCCAGCCCAGCAGTAAGAACAGGTGGTGAGCTCCCTTCCACAGGGGGCATTCAAGTGCCAGGCAGGGTTAGGGCATCTTTGCAGCCTGAGACGAGCTCTTGGAAGGTTCTGGGCCCCACCCAGGCTTCCGTGTCCCAAGATTCCCAGACATGGCCACCCAGCTTGGTCCAAGACCTGACTGCGCCCAGCCTCAGGGTTCCAGAGGTGTCAGGGAGGAAGTGTGGGCCTGAGCCACCCCTTCCAGCATTCAGGACTCAGCAAGGGGCAAGGGGGCGAGGACAGTGACCCACAGTTGGGGCAGGGCTGGCCAAGGGTCCCCTTCTGGGCCTGGGGCTCTGATGCCTGCCACCCCGCACACATAGGCACAAACTATCCATCGCGGCCGGCTGCCAGCTCCCAGGGCACGGCACGCTCTGCATTTTTCGGCATTTATGGCTCTTTTGAAATGTTCCAAGTAGTTAGTTGCCTGAAATATCCTTGCTGGCTTCTTTAAAAAAAAAAAAAAAAAGAAAGAAAGAAAGAAAGAAAAAAAAAAAAAAACCAAACTGATGTAAAGATTTTGTTTGCCTCCCCCTCCCCTGGCATGCTATATAGATGGTTTATTCTCTGCTTTGGAAAGTCCCATTGTTGCGGAGGTCAGCCCACGTGCCTGCTGTCAGCAGAATCTGCAGGGCTGCCCAGAGAGAGACCCTGGGGGACTGCGGAAGCCCCGCTCTGCACCCACCACTCATCCCCCCACCCCCAAACCCCAGGATATCAGTCCAGCTTGGCTGCCAGCTTGGGGCGGCTCCTACTGCTGGCACCTGCCCTAGCTCTCAGGTGACCAGCTGTGCTGCTCACAGGCTCAGGGAGGGTCCCGGGGGCCTTGTGCATGGGCTGACTGGTATGCAGGGCACTGTGACAGTCAGTGCAGGCATGGCAGCCTGACCCCTGGTCTCCCACCCCAGATGGTCCTAGCAGGAACAGTCTTCACTTGCCCCGGTTCTAAGTCCCTTGGAGGCCCATCAGAATTGTCATCTAGCTCCCCACAGACTCCCAGGGGGCCAAAGGACCTGGAAGCCTGGCACAGTGCCCAATGCACATGAGTGTTCCGCCCTTCTTTTTACAGCCATCCACGGCTGCCACCTCT